AGTGTTGAAGCGGCTTGATCGTCTTGAAGAGGCCTTGGAAGAGAGCAAGCTTGTTACTGATTTGAAAGCCAAATCTTTAGAAAATGAATCTTGAACATACATTACTTGAATGCCTATAAACATACTGGAARCATGCTGTGAAGGTTTGCTTCTTACATTACTAGGCTCAATCTATTTWCATAAGTGTTCGCCAAAGTTTAGGTATTTTCCTTTCGCAGAGATCCAATGAAACTTGGGCTTCCTGTTTAAGGAGCTCCAATGACCCACATAAGGATTGAAAAAAATGCAGCTTGAATAATTGCGATTAGCATACCGACGAATCAGAGTGTCCGTATAACGATCTGATCTATATTTGTAAAGAAATTAAATCTATTATTGATAAAGTAACTGATAATAAGATACTAAGTATCGCACATATTTTTATAGATTTCAAAGTCAGAACAAAATTTTCGTGCGATAAAGTAATAAATAAATTTTAAAATAATTCTTCAAATTAAATAAATTTAATCTAAAATGCCTTTATAAAAAGTGCTGAATTTCGATTAAGTCGGRCCAAATCAGAGTYAGCAAAGACGATTTAGGTTATAGAGCTGTATTGTTCATAAGATCAATTGAATCAATTTCTGAACCGTTTTTCGCGTTTTCAGGCAAGATTTTATTACAATAAAAATGTGTGAAAATGTATACATAATATATCCATGCATTTGTAAATCACAAGAGAGCATTAAACAAGATCTATCTTGTATTGCAAGTGGCAGTCATGTTCATTATGCGCGTTTCAAGTTAAAATGCGAGACAAAAATGGCGGGAGACTAGGGATATCGAGGTACTTTCGAAGAATGGGAATATGGATGCATCTTCATTTTTTCTTGTCCTGATCTTGCGTGTTCAACTTTCTCGGTTTATATCATAGTCAGGCTTGCCAGTTTGGAGGTTTATTTTCGATGGTTCCAGGAGCGAGCCCCTGGATAGTTCATCCTCTTATAGAGAGATGTACCTCTACACCTTCAATACTGTTATTTAATATAATCTCGCTCGCACMCAATTTATMAACAGAAAGATCCAGCTGACAAGGGCGTGGCACTCACGTGGAGGTCGGACCTCACAGGCATTGAAAGCCATTCGGTCTTACGAAGTCATGTTTATGCAAAATCTCACAAATTACATCAAACGGTCGCTAAATCATTGACAGACATCCTGCCTCAGGCTATTTATCTAGGAATTAAGATTAACTGGCACAAGGGTGCGGTGCTGATGGTACTGCGCAGTATAAGCCCAAAATAACCTGGATAGAAAAAGAGAAACAGCATTTCAAATGTTACTCGACATGGCTGAGAACAAAGTATACCGAGAACAGAAAGGACAAAAACGGACATTGTCATTTCAGCGAAACCGTACATGCATTTTTTAAACGACTCGATCGTACTGACAACAAGAGGTCGACTATATTCTAGTGAAAAGCGGTACGGTTTCAAGATGAAGGCACATTTCTTACACATAAATTGAACGGTCACTGAAATATCTCAACAAGGAATTAAGATTAAACTGATGTAAGGGCGTGGTACTATCACGAGGTCGACTATATTCTAGTGAAAAGCGGTACGGTTTCAAGATGATGAAGTCACCGTTTTTACACATAAACTAAACGGTCACTGAAATATCTCAGCAAGGAATTTAGATTAAACTGACATAAGGGCGTGGTACTATCACGAGGTCTGCTAGTATTCCATTGAAATTAAGCGTGTGGTTTCACCTAGTCATCATATTTGTACACATTTGAATCGAACGGTCACCAAACCCCGCTGAGAAGAAACCAGCAACAAAGTTATCACAGTGATCGTTACACGAAACAGACTCGCCGGTCTCTTTGTGGAATAAAGACAGTCTAATTCCATGAATAAACCAAGAACTTAGAAATGGGATAAACAACAATCATATCGCAGTGGAACGCGGCGGGGAGCGAGCGCAAGAGATTACTTAGATTAATAGGATGAGTCGKTGAGGGTTTGCGTAGACCTTAACAAGATCACTCCATGGATTAACGCCTAGTCTGATCATGCTCAAAAACTAGTCGGAATTGAAAATTTCAATAAAAATTGCTACGTACTGAAGCRCYTTCTCCTCATMGATTCGAAAGAGGTGCTTTTCTTTTGCTGCATGAAGGAGAGGCTAGGCAGTGTTTGGAAGTGCTTTTTAGGGGGCAATTTGAACAGCGACATATAGGGGTCTGGGCATGAATCCACTTGTACGGGTGTACAAGCTTTGAATTACATCGTACTTCATGATTATTATAATGGTTTAAAGGAGTATATAGTTTTTTTAAATGAACTGCTCAGACAGTGTATGGCAAGTTCTTTGATTGTACTGTAAATTTTAAGAAATAAGGCACTGTACTGATTTGAATTGATTCCAATGAGTATGGATTAAAGGATGAGCTATTTGGCGGGAAAAGGTCTTAAAACATTCATTCAGAAGTAGATGTAGTGTGCCTTTGAGTTACTTATGCTTACTTCAGTGTTTTGCGACGTGGGAGACGTTCCAGCGTGGATACGGAGATTTTCGACATTAACTCTTTAAATCAAAAGCTAAGAACCCGGTAGAGCGAAGTATATAGTATTGTGTACTTAAACACAGTGAAAGAAATCGTCCCTAAATGCAAGGAGCACTACATTTATCAGCTTTCGTGGTGAAATTTGTAAATAAACTATATACTCTTAAGCGGAAACTGATCTTTCTTTCCCATTTCAAATATGATTTTGTTCAGACTGATTAGGTTTAAAGATGTTGCAAGAAAAAAGATATGTAAGAACCATTCATAATTATTAACTGAATATACTAATACAATTTAGTAATAGTTTATCCACTTGCAAAAGGTACGGGATTCCTTCATCTCTGGTTTACTTCGCCTAACCCTATCGGCCCATTCTCCCGCTTCTCACCGCTCAGCCGTTTTAATTTGAGTTCAGTTGGTAGATGACTTGTGCTACTTTGTAACATACAATACGAGTTGTTCTTTTATATAGTTTTCATGTAGTTCTTGCGCACTGATACCTTCACCTTATGCATGACTTCTGTACTCGGTAAAATGACAATTAATGTGGACATTTGGTCAACCCGAGAAAAAATTACGAAAAATTTTCATATTGAGGACATGGATTATCTATATAATCCAAACTCATTTTTATCTTCTTAGGGATTTCGAGTTGAAAACCACGTCGGTTTTCGTAAGGGATAAAATGGAGAGAAATTCAGAAAAAGCAGAATTGAATGTAGAATTGTCCATTTGTTTGTAAATATTAATTGCATTTCTATCGCCTCAGGCATTCACATCTCGCTTAACATTGTTTTGTGAAAAATTATCCTTCATTTTTAAAGAAAGTTGCATGGCTTTTGTTGTGATATTCGACTATTTTAAATTGCATGGTTTTGGTGTTGTTTGCTTGGAACAATATTTTCTCACAACGTGCGATATTTATCATTTTTTCAATCCAAACAAAACGTTCAGTTCTTTATCTGATATCTTTTTCATTTAGAACTACAGTGTTATCATAACATCGTTTTTAATAACGGGAAAACGACAAAAACCCGAGAAAAACGAATCATGAACGGCTCACAGGAATGTTTGAAAGCTTTCCTGAATTATTGCCCAGAAAAACAGTCTATAAATCAAATTATGGACCTCGATAGCCAAATAATTATTTAACTAAATGCAAACTCATTCTATATTCTGTAAAATACACTGTTTATACATCAAATTACTCTCATTATTGTTGACTTATTTTGTCTAAAAATGGCCTWTAAGTATCAGTTTCAAGGAAAAGGATTGAAAAGTATCTGTCTTGAAGTGAAGAAAGAGAAATTTTCCCAGTTTTTTTTTTCGAGAATGGTCTCGCTGCTGTACAGGTGCGGCGCATGTGAGTTTGGGGAACCCCGCTGTGCAGGTTGAGTTGTTATCAGTTTAAAGTACGTGCTTGGTGTTTCTTAATTTGTTTGAAGTGGATTTACAATAAGACCGACTATTTAGGCACGCAGGATACTCATCGTACAAACTAAGGAAATCCATCTAATAGATAGATACATTCTCAAACAAATCCATGAAAATAAACAATCATTATTCCTAACAACACAAATTAACTTACCTTGTCGGGTTTTCTTTGTTTGAGGACTCTTTCAAACACGTTGACAATTTGCTCAATCAACTCTCTCAATTCTTGGTTAAATATAATGTGCGTACTCTATAAGGACTTTAAATGATAATATCAAGGATGTTTAGGACTTTGTCTTTGACAAATTTATTTGTGTTTTTTTTCTTCATAATCTTTTCAATCTTTTTTTAATCTTAAATTCTGTCGTCCGAAATCGCCTTTAAAAATAACCTATTTATTTAGTCGATTTTGTATTGTTTCACTGTTTGCTTCCACTAAAAGCAGTTATTTTTTAACGATCTATGATACTAGTAGACAAGAGTATCAACCTAAGGGCAGTGTTTGCCTCAAATTCACCTGTTCCAAAGGAATTCATTACAAACCTCACACAACCACTAAAACATTTATCTTAATCAAGGAATTACCGAGCTAAAGAGATAAAATTGTCTTTCCAAAATGTTGTTTTTCCGTGAGGATACAAACGAAGCCATCTGGTTGGTAAATTTTGTGTATAGTCATTCCCAATGTGAAAACCACTGATTAAAGCGCGCGGTATATAGACAACCAGCCAATCACAACACGGCAATAGGTATGAGTGACTTTTGTAGCAGGCTGTAGGTGGTCTAGATGAAAGATAAAGGCGGTCAGAGCTAATTGTCTTAATCACCTTGTCTATAAAGGGTCTCTTCAAAGAAACTTGCTTTCTGGAGGGCAGACGGAGCGCAGGTCGACTTATCTTTTGACACATCGAGTTGTTGAAGAACATCAGGAGTGAAGTTTGAAGTCAATCAATGCATGACTTCTGAGCACGCCTATTGAATGATTTGAAGTACACTGTATACAGGTATCAATTCCATTTTTTGGTCATCTATCTTTAGTACACTGCTAAATCGACTAATATGTCTGAATTAGAAGAAACAACAATTCACGCAGTCAATGAAAATGATGAACAAGACAAACTTCTGCAAAAAGAGGCAGCGACAACTCATGATTCGGCGGACAAATCAGCAGTTGGTCCACTGGAATCTTTCTCGGTAAAGAAAGARGACAAATGTGAYGACGATTCTGATGTTAAGCCATCACATTCCTACATAGCACTTATTGCAATGGCAATCCTAAGTTGCTCCAACAAGAAGATGATTTTGGGCGATATCTACCAGTACATTTCAGATAACTACCCGTACTATCGTAACAAAGACAAAAGTTGGCGYAACAGTATTAGACATAACCTATCTCTTAACGAGTGCTTTATTAAAGCGGGAAGAAGCGAGAATGGGAAGGGAAACTACTGGGCCATCCACCCCGCCAACTTGGAAGACTTCTCAAATGGAGACTTCAGAAGAAGACGTGCTAGGAGRAGAGTTCGGAAAAGCAACGCTTTAAAGTTTGCGGGAGGAATGTCGACTGGYATGCCATATTTGAGAAGCTACATGCCTTTTCATGGTTATTCGAGTCTAATGTCGGCTTACAAGGGTGAAGATTATAGTCGTAGCATTGGGACATACTCTACTGGTAGCCTAATGTCTCCTGTATCTTACAAACAGTATTCTCCTTACAACCAAATGTACACACTGCATAATGCGGCAGGCTCGACCTTGTCTCCCTTAGTATCAACCCCTAAACCCTTTACTGCTGGTCCATATTCGTCGTCTTTGTCAGCTTTAGCCTCGTTATCGTACGGCCAAAGGGAAAATGACAGTTGGCAAGAGACGTTGTGCAAATTACAAGAAAAACTGCAAAAACATTCCGAGTCTTGAAGTTGCATTGGCTGCAAGGCAGTTGATAAAGTGTGTCGAGTACAAGCTTCCGTTTTTATCGAACAGGGCATGCAGTTGCGAAGAAACCTGAATCGTTCTTAAAGCATTTTATGACTAAAGAAAATACAAACGAGATAGCTTAGACAACACCAGTACACTTTCTTTTTTAGTATCACATTAATGAATTGTAGTACTATTCTGTTTGTAGAAGTCAAACTTTTACATAAAAACTCAGCTGCCAACAGGCGCGGTTTGAATTAAACTATAAACATCGTAAAACCTAGAAAACGATCAACAACATGTAAAAAATCAGACAAAATAATTATTTTTCCAGCTATGACATGATAATCTAATGTTTCAAGAATCCAAGATGGCCGACGTTCTGATAATTGGTAGCGTGCTGTTGTTTATGAATGTACGATATTTCAAACGGTTATTGCACTGACTAAGATGACCAAAGTCATCTTTGATAAGCGGTCACCTCCAAAGCCCTTCATTATGCCGTATTTGTGAACTAATAGTCTTAATATCGTATACTAGTCCCAACTGACCAAACATGCTAAAGTTGTCCTGTATCAAGCGGCCAATCTGACCACAAGCGCTGTCAAGATGGGCTTCCCTTGATTAGGTTGAAAACTCCTGCTATGAAAGTTGTCAACTGGAAGACTCTACAACCGGAGACATGATCTTGATTAGCACTTACTGAATCGAGAAAATAAGGAACTAAGTCTTGGAAAAGTTCTATAACGGACAAGTGAAGAAATGTTTAACCTTTTAAAGTCGCAAAAAGATATGATGCACTTTTGGGTGGTTTTGAATCATGACCAACCAAATCTATTCTAAATTTCTTTATTGAATTTGTATAAGCTCATTTCAAAGCATTTTTATTCCGAAAAATTGCCTTGAAACATCATGCACATGTAATTAGTACTGTAGTTTTGTGTAACCTGGCGAAGAAAGTTTAGCTTTTTTGTCTGAAAGTATTTTGAAGTAATTCACAAGTGGAAACTTTGAAATTGAGATCTTCATCGACAGCATATTTTTGACTGATCTCAAAAGTCGACTGACTAATGAATGCAGTTAGGAAAAACCTAGAAAAATAAAAACCATTGTATAATAATACTATTGGGTTTGTGTGCAAGACAGTCTTATCTTAAGTTTTATTAAAATGAAAACATACTGGAGGGGCACTTTGCAATACAGGATTCAATGGTAAACAAGAAAGTAGCCAATACATTTATGTTAGCAAACTGATATGGAGTGAAATGATTAACCACGATGACAAATAGAGAACAAACTTAAGTTTGTGGTCTTTATCGCCAAGAAGCATATTAATATTGAATCAAGAGGTCGGTGATTAAGACATTGAACAATGTACACTACGAAATACGCCTTACAAACAACTTCTACAGCACACTCCAAAAACCGTCGTCGCTTCACTCAACTTCATCCTTTCTCTGTACAAATAAAAGTAGTCCTTAACTGGAACGTCTTGGCTTAACAACAACGATATTTTTTGAGAATATTTTCCGTAAAAGACCACACTTTTTTCATTCATAAATGTTTGATAGCCAAACTTTTCAATTTAGGGGATGTTATCAAGTAAACGCTGGTTTTAATCGAATGTTTTCGTTCAACTAATTTAGATTTTTGTCAATAATATACTAGTTAAATAAGACCGGTAATTTACTGGGATCAATACGGTTGGTTGTGTCAAAGTCGGTTAAAGATGGCGCTTAAGACATGAATTTTGTTATGATACATTTCCATACACTACTGCTACGTTAATGAGATCAAGAAAAAATCGACATCAAAAGCCACTCCTCGAAAAAAAATGTACAAACGGCAATAGCTGACAATCAGATAAAGTACATTATAACGCAAAAATTAAAACTAAAAATAACATCTGAAACAAACAAAAAAGCAAAACGAATTAACAAACCAAACAATATTAAATGGTCTTCTCTCCTAATGACGTAGGACGATGTTCGTGAGCGAGAAGCACTACTTTTAAAGTACTCAAATTCTTAGAAACTGTTGTCATTTGCTTTCCTTTATTTCTGTTTTTGTGAAAAAAAGCTAGCCATTAGGTTAGTATTCTCTCAGTCCGCTGCCATGTTAATTCATGTTCTTCATAACGTTAATTTCGGTCGTTTTAACAAAGCATCCGCCATCTTGATAATTCTATCAATACCATGATGCATTTGGCCGAAACAAACATGACGTCACTAGAAAAATAGTCACTGAGAAAATAAAGCATCCTAGAATCTTTAAGTTGTTTTTATTTTCTTTGACAGTGCATACAACTTGTGCTTTGGCTAAATTAAAATGCAGATAAAGTAGTGAATCGAAAATATTTTAAATATATTCTTCGTTTTCACTATACGTCACAGCGGCCATCTTGGATGAACTTCAACAAAGGATTTCTCATTAGTATCTATTGTTCATTCCTCCAACCTGGCCGCCGGTCTTTTATCTTTTGAATCTCCTGGGAATGGTTGAAAACGAGCAATAGATATACATAGAAAGGATGATAAAAATCGAATTGATAAGAAAACTGTCCTGGTGTGTTTTCGACTGATGGTAATTCTATAATTAAAATTATTTATATTCTTTTGTTCCCATTGCTATTCTAAAAAACATGAATTTTGATTATGTTATTGCATCAATGCATTAATTGAGTATGGTCAAAGTGAATTGTCTGGCCCATAGTTAATAGACTATGTCTGGCCTATCAAAATTTCCATTAATTTAAAAACTACATCTAAGACAAAGAAGCAAACTGACTAAAATTGTGAACACAACTACTATGATCTCCAATTTCCACTTTAACTTTTCTTTCTGTAAGTGTGAGTTGGCTGTCTCATTTTGTTGGTGAGAAATTTGTCTTTGCACAGTTGCTCGCTTTTTGATAGCCTCCGTGAAGGAGTCTGCTCGTTTCTTCATCTCAGGCACATTCTCTGGCTCAAATTCTTCCAAAATTTCTGCAATGGCTTTGCAAGATGCAGCAGTCTCTTTGTCAACTCCCAGCACTTTTTCTTGTATTGAGAGAGCTTTTTGATAGTTTTCCAAAGCACCAGAAAGATAGTCTTGACCTTGTAATCGAAGAAGTTCAGCAAGATGAACATAGGATCTTGCAGTGTCTTGATGATCACCAAGCGTTCTCTTGCGTATATCCAGTGATTTCTTGGTGTTCTCCTTTGCATCTTCAAGTTTTCCAAGGACTTTGTAAGAATCGGAGATATAGTTAAGGACAGTAGCTACCCAGGGGTGGTCCCCTAAGTTGTCTTTGTATATAGGATAGCATTCCTCTTTGAGAATTGTGATGGCCTGGGAATGCTCTCCAATCAAACGAGCAGCAACTGTTAAAAAAAATTAATAGTCTAAACAATTTAAAGGTAATTATTAACTATTTGACAACTGAATGCAATTATAGTCGCCAAAATCATCATAAGCCCATGCTACAATACTCTTGTTATCTTTACAATTATTATCAATTTTTTTATCATCATCGTCATCATCATCAACTAAAGATAACTTACTAGCTCTGTCGCAGTGGCTGGCTGCCAGATACACTTGATCACCAAGTTCTTTACGCAAGTCGATGGCATCTTGCATCAACTTTTTCCCCTTTTGTCGATCGCCCATTTGTTGGAACCCCTTTGGTCGATCTCTCTTTGGTGGATCCTTCTTTTGCTGACCCTTCTTTTGTTCATTCTCCTCAATGCCCTTGGCTATGTAGCACAGTCCTAATTTACTCAGGCAATGTGCAAATGCCTCGCTCTTTCTCTTACTCTTGCTCACAATCTTAAAAAGTTTGTACGCTTCTTCAAAAGACTCCATTGCCTCTTTGGAGAATGTTCGATGATTTCCGTCACATAAATGCACAAACCCAAGAGAGGCCAAACACTCTGCCATTTGTCTAGTGTTTTTTTGTGAACTTGACATGTCATACAGACGATGGTAGATCTCCAGGCATTGTCTTGGTGGCATGATTTTGCCTAGAAAATTTACACTGTTGTTGCATGCATTAATGCAACTTTCTTCGATGTCTTTGCATTGGAACTTGATTGAATTCTCCAG